AAGCATTTTTTAATCTGTACAAACAGACCTTATATTTTATGTTTGATTATGACTTTTTATTATCATGCAACGATTTAACAATTGCCTAATCAGTAAATGCGATTTTATATAATTTATTAAGATACGCGCGTATGGTATCTATCTACAGTCTCTGCAAAATGTAAAATAGTACACAGTCATCGTAGCAATTTTAATAATGAGTCTTTTATGATTACTACAACGATTGTTATAACAAACGTTAGCGATGGAAAATGATATCTTTCAAAACAAGTGAAAATGATTAACACTCCATCGCAACACAATTACTGGATAATAGATCCCTATCTTTATAGCTGTATCCCTCTTTTTCTTCTGAATGCTTAATTAAAATCTATCTCACTTTGATGCAGAGAGTGTAACACCAGTAAGCAAAATGTTAACAGTATGCCATGCAATAATTTCTTAGCAAATTCAAGCAGAGAATACTGGGACAAAATGACAAATTAATTACAGCTGCATTTGCATTAAGGTTATTCTGCTAGTATAATCTCCTATATTTAATTAATCTGTGACAACTTATATCAGTAGAAACCGAGCAGGACGTGACATTTCATAATCATTCAAGTGAAACATATTATCACTCTCATCATATTTTGTTAGCAGATTTCATTATTTCATTATTTGTTGGCATTTTGCCGATAAAAATTTGTGGCAACATCTGTTTCCTTCGACAGATCTGTACTTAACGGTCCAGAGCACAAGGGACAAATTTAACGATAGATTTACATTCGTAATCATCATCCTGCTATATTTTTAGGTTACGCTGTATCTATTTAAAGAAATTTTCCGCAAAGTTGCAGCGTAGTACGCCCAATTGTCATATGTCCACCTTTTTTTTTTAGCAATTAACATCGAGTTTCACATTGTCCTGTGACACATTAGTGTCATATTCGTTTATTCAGGGCTCGACCACAAATCGGAGCTTCGCCGTTCGAGAAGGCATTCGCCTCGTTATCATATACAGATTGTTAATACGTATGATACATTGTAAAGTTTCACGTTGAATGATACGCACTTCAGATAATTACTCAGAAATAGTTCGTACAAACAAGAACATTCCACTGTCCCTAACGCACATTGACACACTGACGTGCAGTACTGATGAGTTGTGCCTGCCTTGTGATATATATATGTATGTATCGACCTTGATGGCCTTGATTTCCGGCAGAACAGATACTTATATTCGTAAGTACGTGTGTACACATGTAATGTATATTACATAACGACATTGTATTTTTTGCGTATACTATTTGATCTATTCTATAACATATTTTATACATATATTAATAGGTATAATTTCTATTTGAAACATGATCTATTTTATCTATTTTAACATGATCATGCAGTAACAAATGTATTCTGATTCTATAAAAGTTAAACCTATTGATATACTATGCTGATTCAATGATCCAATATTTTATATGGTAGGGAAGAATTATATTATCAAAGGTATCTTTTATTCCTATATTTATTTTTGTTTAAATAACATTGCTAATAATAAATTTAACATAAGATTATATTTATTTTTCTTTACAACTTAAAAAGCAATTTTGTAATATATATGTATCTTAAATGGAATATTAATTTCGTACTTTTATTATACAATATATATAAAGATTTGTATCCAAAATAACTCATAAATGGAAAAATCAATAGAAATTTGAAATACTATCAGACAATAAGTCCATGGTAAATAAGAAGAAAAATTCTCTTATCTCTATTCTGAAACTTGTCCGGATGTGATCCGTTATACAATTATTTCTTCATACGATTATATCGTCTTATAGTTTGTTGTACACTTATGTCGTATCACATTATACATTCAGTTCTTGTTAAATTATTTTTATAATACATATGTTTGTTTTACATAATCTCTCCTCCTCTCTTTCATTATATTGTTTTTACTTTATTTTTGTATCATTAATATTTTCTCTCTATGTACAAAAACCTTTTCAAGTCCGATTAAAATACATTTCTGCAAATCGGGCAGGTGGATTTTTGACTTGTACTGAACCACTTATACTGGAAAAAAAATACAATATTATATATATACATACTTAATAAAAATACCTAATAATAAATGTTAATAAATAATGTATGCTTACCAAGCAACGAGTATGAAACTTCTTACGACAAGTGTGACATGACAATTTTGGTACTTGATATGTACTAATATGAAAAATGCTAAAGCATATGTAACACTCTTCGACGCCTGCAAATTTCTTATCCAAATTGCGCTTCCACATTAGAAGACCATCCCAAACTGAGCCATTCTGTAATAGAAAATATAATTAAAACACATATTTCTTAATATATATACATATATGTATAAGTATTGCAAGACTTACTTGATGTGTGAGAAATTTAGCGAGTTCCATGTGATAATTTTTCTCCTTTGTCGCCCCATCTATCTGTTTACCAGATTCTACTAGAACACTACCTAAAGGATAGTTTGGTGGTAGCACTATGCTTAATTCCAATTTTGTATCTTCCATTTGATACACGGCTACTACTTCTCTTGCTGTTGTATGCACTTTTACCTATAACAACACAAGAGGCATATGATATTAAATCTGATAATAAATCAACATAAATTTTTTAAGTAATGAAAAATTTTCAAGACTTGTGTATGTGGAAGAGGCAGGATTTATGAGAACATACCTGCATATTTTCAACATTAGCCAATTGTAACCTGCTATAAAGAAGCTCCTCTTCACAAAGACTAGGACTGACATAATGACTCGTAATCTTGTCTACTGCTGCACTGATTCTGCTATCAACTGTACTCAGCCATTGTCTAACTAATACTGGTAGACGCCGTAAGCAGTTCGTGTATAACCAACATACAATATGATCTAATCTCTCCTCGGTCCAACTTTCTACAATATTGCGGTATAATATAAAACAATATGTATTAAAGCAATTATACACTAGTACAAGTATAATATTAATTTTAATGGTTTTTTACCTTTAAAACGAAAAACTGGCGCAGTAGTAAATAATTCCAGTAGTTTCACAGTTTTATTTTTATTATCTTGTAGTACGTCCACGGGCATTAATTTGAAGATTTTAAATAACAAACAGGGGAAAAGTTTATTTCTAAAATTTATGTTTAGTATAAAATATATGTTTAAGACTTCAAAAGAAATCATAAAAATGGATAATGTGCATTATAATATACTTACTTCAACATTTCAGCATATTGATAACGTAAATCATTATGAGCCTTTTCGCAGATATCTAGTACAATTGCCCATCCTAACAGATATCCTAATGTATATGTGTAAAAATGTGTAAATGGTTGGATTTTGCAGCTAATTGCATCACACAATCTGAAAAAGACGATATTATATTAAATCGTATAATCCATTTGATTAAAATTTAATGTAAAACAGAAACTTACCTAAAGTCCATAAACATTACATTTATAGCTTGCTCTGTAATTAACAACGCTTCATTGAATTTTCTAATATTAAGACTGCTTGGATCGAAGTTGTCAGACTCGACAAGAGCTTTGTCATGCTGTACAAATTCCGGTACCATATATTTCAATGCATAATAGGCACCTAATTGAATACTAGGTACACGAGATTGCAATAATTTCAGAGACAGCTTTAACATCGTGTTGAAATCAATCGTTTCGGTCTGTTCGTCATATTTCTTGAGTGATATGCTATTGTCAAATGTACAAATTGCCTCTCCCAAATAATTCAATAGTATGACAGATTTTACAGCATCTGTATTCTGATTGCATAAATCTGCATAAAATATCCAGGTCTGGACAATGCCACTATATACATCGCCGCCAATTACATCTCTCCATTCGTCCAAGAGTGCTGGAGGTAACTCTGGTATTGGCTCCAACTTGTGTTTTTCCATTACATCTTCAACTGCATAATACAATTGGCTAAGCGTCGTCATCAACATTGTTATTTTAATGTCAGTATAATCATGTTTGGCATTGTTAAGTAACTGTTGCCACTTTGTGAGAGATATCAAGGTAAAATCCCAGTATTCGTGTTTCAACGAATATTTTGTACATGAAAATGAATTTGAAATATTTTCAACGACTGTCGTAAGCAATCTTATAACTTCTAGTGGCAAAAGTAATTTATCCCATGAAGTATCAGATATATCGTGATCCAAAATCGCGAAAATATCATCGCGACGTAACATATATTTGTCCACAATAGTATCATAAAGTGAAGGAGATTGATTTTTGGAAGAGTCGAGTATCATAGTTCTTGTGGCAATTAATTCATAAATTTCGTTGCGTGTCGATAACATTTCCGAAATATTTTGTGGCCAATAATAGTTTAAGATTTGCATTATTTGCATATACATCTCATCGTCATACATTTCTGCAATTTCATTACTACTGTAATTTTTAAAATACTCCGTAGGATTCTTAGTTTTATCTTTTGAGAAAAATTCAGTGTAATATGTATAAATTATGTATGGTAGTACACATCCGTAACTTTTCTGATTTGTTCGTATATGCGATAATACATCATCGTGGATATTTTTTGCAAAATATTTACGCAAGTTGACAAAACTGTTTTTCAGCGAACCACGAAGCTTGTCAACATCATTATAATGTTTGGTGGATCTATAATGCTTACTGTATATATCTGCTATGCTAACAACATATGTAATATTTATCAATATTTCCGTGATTCCAGGTAAATTTAAATCGTTTAATTCGAAATTTTCTTCTTCCGAAGATACGTTAACATTCTCTGAATCAGAGCTTTTTAGTCTCTTATACAAATTATTAAGCAAATCTGTGATAAACAAAGCCCATGATAAACAATTTGCCGTATTATCTAGAGTGATGTCGTTCGTTATATTGATAGATGTAGGCTGCTGCAAAATCCGTATATTTTTCTCAACATTTGACATGTATAAATGGCCTGTTAACACTTCACCGTATATTGCAATAGCGGTTGTCTCTCCAATCCATAATTTTATGTCAGATGCCGTTAGGAATAACAGAATAGTTTCTTCAACGCAATAAGATTTTGTGTTGTCAATGTTACTAATTATAACTTCTAAAACATCTGCTGCCAAATCCACCAATGTATCCTTAACAGAATTTGCATGTGCATTATATATTTTGCTCCAGATAATAGTTCCGCATCCCTTAATAAGATCATCAAATTCAAGGGCAGATAATATTTGACTACTTTTTACGAATCCTTCTTTCCAACTAGTACGGACCGTATCAGCAGTCAAATCATCATGCTCTCGAGTGCACAATTCAAAAAGTGTTTCCAATATCTGCACAGCACTTGATACTGTTTGCTTATGACTCCACATTAAATTCATCAATTTCGTAATAAATGCGATAAGTTGCATGGGACAAGTGTTATCTCTTTCATTTAGTGAATCACATAAAATCGATACACTCTCATTTGCTCCTTCCTCATTTACTAACAAATCTCTAATGGAACAAATGTCATCCCTTCCATTTAGTGAATCACATAAAATCGATACAATCTCATTTGCTCCTTCCTCATTTATTAACGAGTCTCTAATTTCCGGAATTTCAAAAGCTGATAAAATCAGATTCTGATTTTTTTCGAACTCATATTGTTCATCATTGCATGAAGCAATTTTTTTGGCTACATCAACTAGCAGTTTGGGTATATTAGCTTGTGTATGCCATTTCTTAATTACGCTATCATTTTTATTACATTCGGATAAACTGCAATATATGGCATTTCTTGTTATTGCAATATCATCTAACTCGATCAATGATTTTAGAACTTTATCCTTTTCCGCGTCATTTATGTATGTAATAAAATGGAATATTAATTCAAGAATTTGTTCAGCTATTTCTGACTTTTGGAGCAATAAAGGTTTCAAGTTCTTGTCATAAAATTCAAAGAAGTCTTCATCAAATTTAAATGATTTTGAAAACGCGCAGACTAATTCCCTACTTGCAAAATGTTTCATAAGTTTATTCAGCTGCCTGATATATTCCATGTACTGAGAGTCGTTTATCGAATTAAAGTAAATTGCACAGAGAGAATTTACAAATTTGCAAAGTTCTGCATTAAAAACAGGATCTGCATAAACATCGGTAACTTTTATCTTCGGTTCGTTCGCAACAACCGATTCACTTGGATCGGAAAATTTTACTTTTAATTTTTTACGGGTATGATCTGGTACATTCTTCAAATTTAACAAGAATTGGATATGGGAATCTTTTATATCTGTAGTATCTGCGATCTCTTTTAGCATATTCATAAATTTGTCGAACAATAACTGCAATTCAAACCAGAACTGTTCCATTAAAGAAACGTACGATTTATATTTCTCATTAGTACGATTTTTGCTCCAATACCGAATTAGATGCGTAATCTCGGTAAAACAAAATTGTTTCATATAGGTACTATCCGTTAAGCAAGCTTCTATAACAGGCATAAGCTGTTCCTTAAGGAGTCGAACGCATAAATCTACATTTTCGGCGTTTACGAGAATCGTATAACGTAAGCATTCAACGAAAGACGTTGTTACAGCGAGCATTTCTGAACGGCTTATTTGCACACTTTTGACGAAAAATCCTTGGCGCATGTTGTTAAAGAAATTCGTATACAGATCAGCGACATCAATATTAAACTTCGAAAATTGACTGACGAAGGGCAGCAGATTTGGATAAACCGTGCTAGCGCAGCATTGGCCACCAGATCGTAAAACGGTCCATAATTTTGGGAGTACAAGTTTGTTAATATTTACGACGAGATGCCAGTCGTCAATTTTCGTTGTAGCTATGAGCATCGATTCCCACACAGCCGATAAAATTGCAGGTTCGGACTCGTCAAGGCTATTCATAATAGTGGTCACTGTCCTTTTCTTTTCATTTTGTAATAACTTTTCCGCGTTTTCCATTATCGACGATAGCACGTTGAAAAAAGCTGTTTTTACTGGCAAAGCATCGTATTTAGCCAGTTTCCAAAACCTTGAACTGCTCAAAATGTTGTTGTGGATTTCCAAGGTCTTATCGATTTCGTCAAGTGGCACTTTCTTGAAATAATAACTGTATCCTTGGAGATTTGCTGCCAGTACTCTCTCATATTTAGCTTCCATCTCTTCATTGGTAAGGGACTTTTGTGTCGATAACGTTTGAGCTGTGTGCACGATTATATTATTGCTAATATACAATAAAATTTCGCACTGGCAATGAACAATCGCGCTAACTATCTTCCAGGGTGGAAATGTGCTGTTGAAAGAGTTGGTGGCGGCTGAAGCCGCGGGAGGATACGTGTCATATTGAGAAATGAACCAAGCACCGGCCAATTGTTTCAGATACATCGCTATACCCTTGCCTACACGCTTCACAACTGCTGCGTGTGCCAATTGTGCAGCTTCTCTCACTCTATGCTCTATATCAATGGACAGAGCGCAGTAAAATCTTGGCCAAAACGGTAGCATACCTTCTACCGCTGCTAATTCAGCGTCTTGACATAGAGTCGCAAATTCTTGCAACGCCTGCACATACATGAACATACATATATCAGTTTACAAAATTTATCTAAAGTGATCAATGACTTAAACCAGCAAAGTAATCACCTTATACTTTGTCGTAGCATCTTTCTTGCTGATCTTCTTCAGTACTACTTGAAAATTGGAATCTACACTGTTCATCTCAACCTCATTTAAGGAACACAAGGATAAACCAGGTAGAACGGGAACATATCCTCCATCCTTAACTGCTGAGAACCCAACAAAATTAGGCACCGCGGCCCCCAAGAGTTCTGCACTGCGGCTGCTATTTGATGGCTAAAAAGTATCAAAGGATTGTACAACATTTTTTCCTCTCTGTCTCTCCAACGTTGTTATCGAACGCGAAATAAACCTATTTCATTTTCAGGAAGCATAACGTAGCGCAGCTACAAAGAACCGACCCGACAACGTGCTCATAGGTTAGGTTATATGACGAAATTATTATCGTAACTCAGAGTCACGCGATTGAATATAATTAATGTTTACCCGTGCATTGTTTTTCGTACGTTGCGCCTGCTTATTTTTACCCATGGTGATACTCGGGCAAGGGTGTTCAGCGATCAACGAAAATTTCAGGTCTTCTCCGCGCTGGACGTGACGTTCGTCTAATGTCTAATCGTCTGATGATGTTCAGCTGATGACCTAACCTCAAATGCGTATCTATCAGCGCGTGGCCTGGCCGGCGTGGTTTCGTTCAATTGTCAAACACCGGGTGATTAAGCACGAATAGAGATCAAGCCGCCAGCAGATAACACAAAAATTCTAGACAAATGGGGGTCGGCAACAAGACCGAGCAGAGATTGCTGCTGTCTTACTGCTCTTTCACCTGCATCTACCTTCCTGTGATCCTGACGCTGGTGAAGTTCAACGATAATCTGTACAACGTCGGCAAGTACAAGTTCCTACCCGTGCTGATGATACTTACGTTCGCTGAGGTGATAAAGCTACTGTTTCCTATGCTGCAAGCGGAGGCGCCTACCATAATCAAGATAGAGCAGCGGGCCTCGCTGAAGACCAAGAAATCCTGGGCGAAGAGTCTGAGGGAGGTCTTCAAGTTCTTGCTCACCGCTCTCGTTCTGTCGATAGTCTACTACGTGATGATCGTATTGTTCGGCGCACCCGTGCTGACAGACCGCGAGGAGACGACGATGCTCGTCGTCACGCTGATCACCCTGACCTTCGTGTCCACCAGCTTGCACCTGGGAGTGGACAATGCGTTGGACGTCCTCACGGGGACTTATTCCCAGAAGGGCAATATCCTCGCGGATGCTTTAAAGCTCAATATACAGGCAACAATATTAGGCACTTGGCTAGGAGCAACTGTTATCCCCCTGGATTGGGATCGCCCTTGGCAAGCTTGGCCGATTCCTTGCGTCATAGGTGCGCTGCTTGGCTACTTGATCGCCCACTTCATCACTCTCATTAAGACGCTTCCCGCGCCGAAGCTGCACAGGAAAGTCCATCGATAGTGTGGACATTTGTGTGAAAAAGAAGACATTCCATTCCAGTTTCTCGATTATCCATTTTATTGAATAAACAGTATGCGGATGGTCTCATCTTGCATTTTATACTATGTATATTAGGCCATATGGAAATAGTTGAGTATTAACACAGAACTGCCCATCTTTTTTGATTCATGTAAATTAATTTATTACATTATTATCTGTGATGTATACATATATGTACGTATAAGTTGAGGTAGTAAGAATCATGTTAAAATCATGTTTTTATATGTAAATTAAAGAGTATATAATATCTTAATTTATAATCTTTATAAGCTCTAATTGTGGGCAATATATTTTCCCATCCATCTATGCATTACAGGTTGGCATTATAGCAGTAGTTTTACTGATGTCTCATTTTTTCATGTTTTTTTTTTTGCAATCTTGTACATACGTACGTAATAAAATTACTATTATTATTGTTAAAATTTTGCAGCAAGCAATTCTGTCATACAAGTTAGTCGCAGATTAAAATAATCTAAGTTTAGTGCAAGTCTTCCTTTAGTATTGAAATTCGAGTCGTACCATATATAAATTTCGCAACTATTAACAGTCAGGGAAATACAAATTGCATTATCATACAGATACACGATATGCATTATCATGGCATTGATGACGCATTTACATAATGATCATATTTTGTTACGTCAAAGTGGGCCTTTTACCCTTGATATCAACTGTGCGAAAACAAGAATAAGAAAAATGCGCTCGTAAATCGTAAATGCTACACTTTAAATCGATTTATAATTCACTTAGAATTCAGAGGCGGGATTGGTATATCATATAATACCTGCGCAACGATACTGAAACTGTCGTTAAGGAGTTACAACTACAGAATAAACAAAGCTTCCTCTATGAGAAAGCAATAAGTTAAACCGTGATTTAAAAAGTTAATCTACGCACATACATTGGTAGAAATGGACTACATTGTTAACATTTTGTATCTGCTAATGAAAAGAAAAATTACGAGTCTGAAGTGAATACGATAGTAGAATTCCAAGTGGAATTTCAACGGGGAAGTCTAAAATGAGCCCGATAAGTCGCTTAATCGGATTTACGCAATCGTCGAAAAAAAAGCGTCGTGAATGACTTCGTATTTTCTTGTCGTCTGCCGCGATCTGAGATGAACGGGATTTTCCATAGTCGCGCAGTCGCAGCTGTCTGACGGGTAAGTGCAGCTGTCGACCGTCGTGACATTTGTGACTTCTTCATTAAGGTTATCCTCGTTTGCCGGTCCAACTCCGGAGCCCGGATTAATTTTGGATTGAACATTTTGAACGACAGAGATAGTGCCCGATAAGTTCGAAAGGATAATGTCGGACACGGCTGGAAAGGTACCGATTGCCACTTGTTTCTACGAGTTTATTCTAAATTTACTCCGCCTTTTCTGTCTTTCTTTTTTTTTACGTCGTTGCTGTTTTCCTTTATTGAAATATCTTTTGTTACGTGGAAATTATATTCTATGTGATATATATGAGTGATATAAGCAACATGCAAGTAACACAAAGATTATCGATCTTTGTTATCTCTTTGGATGGATTTGATTCTAATGGTGTATTTAGAAAGTTAAAATAGGACTTGATAATATGAAATAATTTAATTTACAAAAATCCTTTAATAACCATTTCTATATAGATAATTTTTTAATTGAATTGACTCAAGTAATTACGTGCTCTTTGATAGTTATATTTTGTACTGATTCAACTTACTTATGAACCATTAAGAAAAGAACTTTAATTTATATCAATTAACTATAAAAGTCATTAACTAAAAGATTTAAGATGAACAATAAAAGAAAATTAGGTAGTAAAGAGTCAGTGCCTCTCAAGATGCAAATATATAATATTTATAGATTTAACTGATTTATCCAATGACTGAACAGTTTTTATAGTATATTAAATATATTATTCTTGTTCTCAGGTTATCAAATGCAAGGCTGCGATAGCATGGAAGCAAAAGGAGTCTTTATCCTTGGAAGAAGTTGAAGTAGCACCACCCAAGGCACATGAAGTCCGAATCAAAGTCATAGCTGTGGCGCTTTGTCACACAGACGCTTATACTCTGGAAGGATTGGATCCAGAAGGAGTATTTCCTTGTATACTTGGTCACGAGGGCAGTGGTATCGTGGAGAGTGTCGGAGAGGGTGTCACTGAATTTCAACCTGGTAGACTGACCATACTTATATTTATAAAAATTCTTTCGAATTGTAAATTATATCACGGTCAAATTTAAATCCTGTTCTTTGACCGAATTATATCTGGCTGACATTTCTTTAACTTTACCATTAATGACATATAGGTGATCATGTTGTACCGCTCTACATTCCTCAATGCGGGGATTGTAAATTCTGCAAATCGCCGAAAACGAATTTATGCAGTAAAATCCGTGAAACCCAAGGTAAAGGTTTAATGCCCGATGGTACATCTCGTTTTACATGCAAGGGACAAAGAATCGCACACTTTATGGGCTGCTCCACCTTCTCCGAATATACAGTGGTAGCTGACATTTCCCTCGCAAAGGTATTTATATGTACTTTCATAATCACTAGAGGTCTTAATAATTTAACATTTATATAATTATTACAAATTACTGTTGTAGATTAATCCTACAGCACCGTTGGACAAGGTTTGCTTGTTGGGTTGTGGAATATCTACAGGTTACGGCGCAGCTTTAAATACAGCCAAAGTAGAGCCAGGAAGCACTTGTGCCATATGGGGCTTAGGTGCTGTTGGCCTTGCAGCAGCCTTCGGTTGCAAAAAATCCGGGGCATCTCGTATTATCGGGATAGATACCAATACCGCTAAATTTGAAAGAGGTAAATTATATAACGAGATATTGTAACAATGAAAATTAATTTTTCGTAGAAAGAAGCGGTGAAAAGTATATTTTCTATTCTTCACGGATTTCCCTATAATAAGAGTGATAAAATACTATAAATATTTTTATACTTATTTACAGCTAAGGCTTTCGGATGCACAGAATTTGTCAATCCCAAGGATTATAATAAACCTATTCAGCAGGTATTAATCGAGATGACTGATGGTGGATTAGATTATACCTTCGAATGTGTTGGAAATGTAAATACCATGGTATGTATTTGACATTTTTATTTTCTTGTTGCGGGAAACAATTCCCGCCAATTTTTAAAAAAAATTACTTTTTCAGAGAGCTGCATTAGAATCTTGCCACAAAGGATGGGGCACATCCGTAATAATAGGAGTAGCCGCAGCTGGCCAAGAGATCAGTACTAGACCATTTCAGTTGGTCACAGGACGAGTATGGAAAGGGACCGCATTTGGCGGATGGAAATCAAAGGAAAGCGTACCGAAATTGGTGGAGGAATATCTGTCAAAGAAATTGATCCTCGACGAATTTGTTACGCATAATCTTCCGTTTGAAAAAATCAACGAAGGTTTTGATATACTGCACTCAGGAAACTGGTAAGTTTTAAAAAAAGTATACACTGTGTATACAGCACATACAAACATAAATACAATATAACTTGAAAAATGCATATAATTTATGTAACTGTTTTATTATTATGTTTATCAGATTTGTGAAAATGACGTGTTTCTGTTGCAGTTTAAGAGCTATCCTCAAATACTAAAAAAAAGCATTGTTTTTTATCTTGTACTGCAAAGATATGGCCTACTAACAACCAGCGTCTTCCAATTTATTAAAAAATGCGTAATAATACGTATACACACAGATGAATACATACTATCTTCTCACATTGATGCGTTCATATCTGCTTTTTATAAATTTGTATTGAATCTCTGGAAACAAAAGAAATAAAATTTATATTTGCTATACTACGCTCAGAAGAACATCTCCCCGATTTCTACAACAATCTTTATTCATAAAGAATTCTTACAGCCACATGTACAATACCGATTAAGTGAGATATTTACGGTAGCTCTTGAATGAAGTAAAAATTCTTTACGCTTTGATCAAGTGCATACCTTACAAAAATCATCATACGTACGAAGATCATTGACGATGATTTTCATTGTATATAATCATATATATACAATATGCAAGACTCGATAAAACTATTTTACGTTTCGCTTGTAGTTATATTAATTAGTCTAGGTCGACAGTACAATAAGTCAGGCGGAATGCAAATTGCGCTCGATGCAGGAAGGAATATGCGTTAGCTCATTGCGGACGATGTCGTTTATCAGTTAAATATGTAGATATATTTTTAAGTGTCATCTACATACTTTAATGCGCAAGTTTAACACGCCATGTCCATTAAGGCAAGACATTATGGATAAATTGACAAAATGATATTAAGTTATTCTTTGAATTAAAAAAAAATATATATATGTAAAGGTGCACAATTTGTTATAAAAGTCGATAGTTGATGAAATCGCAAGGATTGCCGTAGTGTAGTCACGAGTTATCTAAATAAAACGCGCGTTGATAGAAAAAAAAAGATAATGAAATTGTACATTTAGTTTGACATATTTAAAAATTTCAGTACATACAATTGTTGTCTTTGATCAATACGAGACGAGTATTGTTTTCCCTGAATACTTCGTAGAAGGAATGCATGTCGAAGTGTGAAACGCGTTAGGCTTGCAAAATGAATTGTCACTTTCATTCTAAAAATGAGACACGTGTAGTTTTTTGTATCGGCTATCTCTACGTAAATTGCCTTCTAACGCTAGGGGCATATTCACATAGTCACACTGATCTTTTTTTTCTTTTTTTCTACGGATTACATGTTACTCTAATATCTACGGTGTACCACACACTCTTTAAGTAAAAGTTGTAAGTAAAAATGCTTATAATTACAGTAAATGCAGACGAATCACGACGTCGAACATTTTCTAGCTTCGTAGAAAACAACTCTCAGCATTGCACGATGGATGTCGTCCCGATTGCGGACGTAAAGAATCGTAATGCATAATCTCTGCGCGAATCGAGTCGCGCAATGTATAATAGAATAATAATAATAATACTTCACGTTATTTTTATAAGCGATCTCTCACTTCTTAACAACCAGCTCGACGTTCTATGATCGTGATTGAACTGCGTAGTATTAAATAGATCATTAATGAGTACGAAATAGGTCGTTCTTTATTCCGTATGTCTTATTATAGTAATTTTATAACGCAAGACGGCTGTGAGGAAAAGAAGAATAACTTAAAGAAAAACATTCTGAGCTTGCCCGACAGAATGTAATAAATAAGCGGAATAACGGCGGATACTCTATACCGCGTTCGGCGAAACACAGCCGAAAGTGAAGTGGCAAGAGCTACGAAAACCTATTTGCTTCGAGTGATTCAACTAAGTTCCAGCGTGTGCAAGTGTGACAGTAGCAGAATGACATTCGCATCCGCTCGTCTTTTCTTCCCGCCTTCTCTTCTTCTCAATCAATTTAATTTCGTTCAATTGCTGCATTGTTATTACGTAATTCATAATTAGCATTATGTTTCAACGTTAAAATCGACATCGTTAATCTAGCGATTAGAAATCATACGCTTATGGGGTTCTTTCACTTGTTGTTTCCATTAAATGCAATTTAACGTGTCACGACGCGTATGTGAGTTCTGGTCGATACGACGAAATTACCTCGTTTTCCGTCCTTCTTTCTCATTTCGCAAATATTTTTTTTTTTCTGTTTTGTATACGCATACACGATACGTAATTATATTATTTATAGATTTAATTGTGCGTGGAGATACCTCGACAGGCACAGAGGTAATCCAACGGTCGGTGTTCAGCGCGGCTCGCAGCGGAATTTTCTCCCTTTTTCACTACTCCGTCACCAGCAATCCTCACACACGTGCATACACTTTCGGCCATATCTGCGTACTCTCTACACGGACTCTATTGGATATTGCACGGAATTACGATTGCACGGGATCTACGATTGCGTAGACTGTAGACGCCGCTTGCCGCTGGACATACGCGATTATTGCACGACATGGCAAGACACTTGCTACGTTTAATGTTGATCGGAACTTCCTAATTGGGACGAAGGACGCGACTAAAGGTCGTTACGATGATTCGACAACGATCTCTGGTGATTTTACGCAGCGCGCGATTTGCTACGGATCCGACCTTCCCATAACTAATGATCGTCGTGCTTTTTCGTTGCTCTCGGAACTTATTTAGGCTCACGTTTCGTTTCGTCGCGCATGAATCGCGACCTCGACAAGATCGACGGGCGGCCAAACGATGACATGGAACACCTGTGATCACAACTCGGCGGTATTCCTGAAGCCGACGGACGCGCGCGCGCATCTTTCTTCGCTTTTGACTGTGCGGTCGATTCTCTGCTCTTAGATGCTTGATTAAAGATACTGCGCTTCCGTTGTTGGCCGCCGCCTTTAACGTGTCTAAAAATCTAGAGGTTGATCGGCTGAGCCCTCAAGGTCCTGAGCGGAGTCGGTACCACCGTCTTCATCGTCGTCGAGATCTACACTGTTGGTTTTGAGCCCACCGCTGCTGATTTTATTCACAATTGTGTCTGTAAAGCAGTTCGAAAGGTAATTCAGGGATGTAGATATACTTGATGAAAAGAATATGTGATACTACTTACATCTTCAATTTCCAAATAATCTTATAGTTCTATTACTATTATTATTAGAATGAGATAGAGAGAGAGCTTCAAAAATAGTATTTAACAAACATGATAATATTGCTTATCAAAAATAGTTGTTGCTTAGCAAAGATAGAAACATAGATGAATAATGTTCAAGCTGCGATTGATTTTGACTACTTATAATTTAGAAATAACAAAATCTTACTCTTGATTTAAATTTTGGACAAGATTTATTTCAAGAGTTTTAAATTTAATTGCGTGTTATCACTGTTACCAGGATTCGACCTTAAAAATTGCAGAAAGATTCGATTTGGATTTTGATGAAAAAATTACTTAGTTATTAAATAGAAAAAAAATGTTATATTTTTATTTTATTGAATATTGTTTCTATATGCGCAACAAAGTATTAAATCTACATGTGATTCCGAGAGTCAAAATTCTCTTATTAATTTTCTCGTTATATTTTTTTGACGCGCTGAAGATATTTACTAGTTTTACTAATTCTAGCATTTTAAATATTTGTTATTCAATACCGCAGTCGGGCTTCGTGCCGCGCGTTCTGGTACCAGCAAACTCGACGCCGTGCGGATCGACGCACCAGCAGAGACCAAGGCCACGATGACACTGGGTGCTGCGGTAATATCCTCGCGAATCGCAGGCAGGTGCAGAATCCGGCGATGATCGTCTGCGTACAGCGGCACACGGACGTTCGGCCTTAGAGAAGCATCCACACCATTCAGGTCCGCTCACGAAAATATCGCTGAAAATATAACGCCAGAAATGTAGCGTTATACGTAACGTCTCTCCCTTTCTCTTTGATTTTTAAGAGTTCTTTTTTGACAATAACGACTTTGTCGTAAACGCTTAATAAGCTAAAAGTGCTTAAATTATTGCATTAAATATATTATATAATTATAATTTTTATAATATAATATGATTATGATTTTATAATACAATGTAATATAATTTTTAAGGATTTCATCTTAAAACAATAACGACTTTTTAATAAGTATTTAGATCATTGTCACATTAAATATATAATAAATTTAATGTAATAATATTAATAAAATACATTGACAAAGAGGTAGTCGTAGCGTAGACAATACGTGTAAAATTTTTGCAATGTGAGGAATTTTGAAAATAATATATAACAAATTAGCATTATTAAAATGCGCAGAATAATGTACAATATATAGATAATATATAATATTAAGCAATAATAATAAAATATAAAGAAATTAAATATATATAAGTAAATAATAAGGATTTTCTGATACATGGATTAAAAAGAATCATATCTACTGCAGTAGAGTTAATAAACGCATGTGCTCAGACGCAGTAGTAATGTCACGCGGTTTGTCAGACCAAACTATATCTGGTAAGATGTATCTCTATATTAACATGCACTTCACTTATTATACTCTAAATCGTTATTTCCACATGTCTTGTCGTCTTTACGCGTGTACGATCATGAAACGTACGAACTCTCTTCGCATGCAAAACAGGAATTCGCAGACGACTCTTACCTGTCGGTATCGCAACTATCCAGGAAGGGTTTCAAGCATGGTTCATTCTGGTCATGTTCCAGACCGTACAGCTCGGAGAGTGAGAGTCGGCCGTCGCTGTCGCTGTCCAAATGTCCGAACATCCACCTGACCTCGCTCTGACAACCGATTGGGAAGTGACCTGAAATCGTTCGATGCAATATAACATTCTTATATATGTAAGAATAAGAATATATATATATTCTTAATAAAATATATATTTGTATATAATTACGTTTATATGTATATTTTTAAAAAGATATGTATAAAATATGTTTATATTATAATTTACATGTACACGTCGTATATTCATTTCTTATATATATAAAATATACTTAAAGACCTACTTTAGACGATCCATAATTTGCATTAAATTAGGACAGAATTTTATTTATAATTTTATGTGTTGTATTTTAATATACATACAGGTATTAGATATGTGTTTTATACATATTTATAATGTGTGTATGAATTCCGATTCTTCAAATGTTTTTCGTATTACGGCACATAAATAGAATTCCATTCTAAATTTTAACGCAAATTACAGATCCTAAAGAAGTTTTACAAAAAGATCAGTGAGCACGCACGCGGATAAGTTAACAAATTCATGCGAAAAACAAGAAAGTCTTGCATAAAATATAAATATACAATAATATGTATTTTTAGATTGTAACGTGCTCATGCGAATATTCTATTTTATTCAGATAGCAATTTATTTAAAATTTAAATTTCAAAAAACTCGAGTTAAAAACTAAGGTTAAACCGAAAATGCCAAAGTTTTATTGATCTCCGTGTTCGGTAACTTTATGGAACAGTTATTTAGTTTAGCGCGAGCAGAGAGATATTCACTTATTTACTTTACTTAATATTACCGTGCATCTTTTTTTTTGTATAATGCAAAAAAAATAAATTATAATAAAATTATAACTCGTTCAGAATGTAAAAGATGATCGGTCCTCGAGAGTTATACAATCTGCGGACTATTCTCCCGTTTGTGGTCCAAGGATGGTTAGTCAAACCACCCCTCTCGATTCAGGCGGGATCGTCGGTTGCATAGCTGTGCGCATAGTACAATTTGTTTTGCCCCAAGCAACGTAATATCGTAAGATCAACATGGGTACCGGAAGGACAATATCGACAGATAGTACCGCCCAAAGTAATAGGGACGTTCCCGGGGCGGGAAACGATTCATTGTATCGGGACAATTTCGAACTGGGTACGAAACTGATTGTCTCCAAGTCGAATGGCGCGCGCACTGTTAGTACTTCGGAAACTACCACGAGTAACGTTCCGTACACGTCGCCGATGTCCGTCCACTTCTACAGGGACAATTAGTCTCCCTTGTACCCCTTGTAGAACCCCCTCCGTATCCCGCGGGAAACGTTTCAATGCGCTTGAAGCGCATTCCGCGGTTGTACGCGTCAGACGGCTGCTTAATGCGACTTTCGTAGGTCGATGAGGTGTGTACCGTGAAACGTAAAATGTTTAACAAACTCGTAGCCAGATTTTGCTTAACAAGGATCTCGAGAATCAACAACAGATGTCGATGAAATTTTAAATAAAAGGGAACGCCGAATTCGTTAAATCTACAGGATAAGGAGGGATTATTTGAGTCGGTTAAAGAAAAAAATTAGATATAAAATTTTCAAGACAAGAAGGAGCTTTTCAATTTTCAGGGTAGGGATCGAAGAGCTTTTTTAGTCATATGGAGTTTTTTGGTTTTTAGAGCTTTTTGTCTTAGAAATTTACTTTAACTGATTTAAATAATCTCTTCTTATTCTATCTCAAAATGCTGCAAAATGTCAATTGTATTTATTTCGCAAACAGCCGCGTTGAAATCTGTATCATACGTTTTTCTACCTTTAGGCTTGGGATGCTGACGACGATGCTTGGAATCCGCCATCACGACGGAAAACCAGTCTAGGAGACGGTTGGCCATCGCGGGTTTGGACGACGACGGGCAATCTGTATTTCTGGATGGTGGCTGCACGTTGTACATTGCCTTCAACGGTGGCTGGGTCTTGTCCGTGACTTCGTTGCTCATCAGATGCTTGTCGTCGTATCTGTTCGCGTTAGCGAGTCCCTGTAACATGGAACATCGCAGATATATATACACACACATCTATATACTTATCACAATACCTATTGTATGTAAATACTATATTATCATATGTATGATATAATCATATAATACAGTATATCATAAATAGTTCATGATATACTATATATTATAGCATTTATATTTTGCGGGTGTATGTGTGTATTACCTGAACTTGTTGTAGGCACGTAAATATAGTGTAAGGACGAGCATTTTTATGGGCGCCAATTGTTACGTAAAGTGCATGGAAGAAGAAACGAACTCGATAAAATAGTCGATATTATATTTTACACAACTCACAATTGCACTTCGGTTACATCATGTTTCATTACGCTTTTTCATTTCATAAATTTTCCATCATAACCTATAACGATAATTGCATTCGTTATCGTAATTCCGATAATTAACCAAAATACAAGCTTCGCTTTTTCGCGGTAAGCACAACTAACTGGATTATTATTTGCCTCAAATGGTTAGCATTTTTGATGTTTTATTGTTCAACAAATTAATTAAATTCTCGGATAAAATGTTTAAATAGAAATATCACGACATTTAAAGTAATTATAAATACTGTTACATTTTTGCAAATATGTTTATATGCCGAATTCAAATACTCGCATAAAACAAAAATAATTTTAAAAAATTTCTTGTTACCTTAAAAAATTAAATAAATTAGTAAATATTTTATCTATAAACTTTGTCCAATATCAAATAAAATTCACTTTTTAGCCATGCTAAAAAATTGCTACATAATTATTATCCTCTCGTAAAATTAAAAATTTAATAACTTTTACACGACGGGCGTCTATAAACGAAAGCATGCTTGCGTTGAATCATTACTTCAGATTTATTTACGATACTTTATATATTTTCAACATTCTTCGAATGTTGATAATATTTTAACTAACGGTATATACAGTAACAGCATAAATTCATTTAATTGCTTATTAGAAATTTTTTAACAAAATAACTTTCTTCATTGCAAAGAACCGTGTCCTGATTTGGGCCATGTGGTCCAACGTCTCTACTTACTTTAATTGTAAATCAGAAGCAAAGAAGTCACTGAGATAATATTGCTATCTGAGACTATAATAAATTAATAACTATCATAAAGCCTGAATTTCAGATCCCATGGTACCTAGTATATTAGGCAATGTGGAACCTTTGACATCCCATAATGCCCTTTTGCATGCGATTCAAGAATCTAACGATGCTGCTATTATTGATACTTTCACTGTCCTCTGCACTGATATATAATTTAAGCCTGGACACGGATGGCCCAAAAACTATATAAAAATCGGGGTATGGTTCTTTAATTATACAATAAATGCGATGTTTGTAATAAATATCTAACTCTTTGTGCAGAATAAAAAAAATGTGTGTTAACTTTAAACAACTAATTTGATCAATCGGTTAAAATTAAAAAACTTTAGAAAATTTATTTTTACTCAACAAATTTAATCAGATAAAATTATTTAATTTAATTTAATTTAATTTAATTTAATCAGATTAAATTTATATCATTTAATTTAATCTTCTCTCTCTCTCTCTCTCTCTCTCTCTCTCTCTCAGTTTAAGATTTTATTTTCTGCTTTCTCAATTGAATATCTATACGTGGTCTAAATGTAGATAAATATCTGTTTATTATTGACATACAAACTAAAATTTCAGCCTATCTGCGAGTTGCAAACCTGATTCTCTCCTTGCAAACATAAGGGTTCAGTAATTTAGCGCCAACAAAGTTTATGTATTCATCTATTTCCATCATGTGCTACAACTATTCAAGCAATTAAAATTAGATTCTCCACGGAATGATACGAATTTCGAATCGGGCTCGCCGAATAAATTTTTAAAGAATTAGCGACTACGTGCGCCCGCGTTTGATTAGAGCTATTCGCGGAATTTCTAGCGACGCGCGGACTAGCGCGGGTAATAATTAATTACGTTAGCTGCAATCAGTTCGTTAATCAACGCTCTCTACTGTCATTCCCGTCCGACCGCGTCTCCTGACAGCGGGAACTGTTGAATGATCTCTCGATTGCCAATTCGTTTAATCATATCGCCGGTCCCTCACTCGCGCACGTGCATTAAACCTCAATGGCTAGGTTCGATTAATTACGGCCGGACTGACGTTGACGTGTGACGTATGGACGAATAATTTAGCCACGGTTATTTCGCGTAAATCGTTAATCGCGAAAATTTTCGACTCCGCTCAAGAAATATTATAGTGTCTCTCATTATATGAATAAGAAATTCTTTCGCAAAAACTGTATATATTGTGATTTTCAATTACTTACTTAATTTTGAGATTTTTCCTCAAACTGTGCAAATAATTCTGCTTCAACTGAGATGTTATCACACTGATCATCATGCACTGTACAGATTTTCTTAATTAAGATTATCAATCATTTTTAGATTATAAACAATTCAACAACAGAAAATATTCGTGGAAATATCGAAAATTAAATAATAAGATAAAATAAAACGTTGAATAATAAAATTATACTTTCTTCATTTTATTATGCATGAGTTAAGAGTTTTATTTCTCCGAAGTTTTAATTATACTAATTATATATCATTTATAACAATAAGCGTTAATAAATTGAAAAGGATAATAAACTTTCGTAAAATAAAATAAAATCAGGACTTAAGGAGTCAGTTATTAAAATTAAGATCGACAGTTCTGGGACATTCCTTGCACGAGACGTTATCTTCTCAGAGCGAGAAGATATTTTGGAAAAGAATTAGCTATGCGTTGTAAAAAAGAGAGAGTTATACGGATAGTTGAGAATAACAGTATTACGGTAGACGACGAAAGTATGCGGGATTTCAGTGAGGCGATGACGCGTTACACCAAGACAAGGCGATGTAATTTTATTGAGCCCGGTTTAATTACGCGCCGGATGCAACTCGAAGTTTCGCGTTAACTTGTCATAAAGGGCTGATATACGATGCCAACGCGTAATTAATAATTAGGTAGCAGCTTGCGGGAAGAGCGGCTTGCAGTTGAATTCCATTTTTAAACTGCAGTCCATCGCGGATGGAATATCTCTCGTTGCGCTTGTGGCTCGTATATTCTGCAGTTCGTGTCACAAAAGCACAGTACGACACTAATTCCTCTTCTAGGGAAGGTAATGTCAGGCACCTTCGAGATATCTAGGAATTTCATACGTGTTTGCGCGATTGCCGTCTCGGATTCAAACAAATTTAACCCCTTTTAAATCCCTACGATATACGGAATGTCCCAAAGCTGGATCGTTATTGTTTTCATTTGCGTGTACTCTTTAATATAGAATCGATTTTTCTCTAACAGAAATTTCGTTGAACAATATTTTTTAAACATAATTTTTATAGTGCAATATTTATATATATGCAGATATTTATATAATTAGGTATATTAAAGAACACAAAAACATTTTACAATGCTGTTTTTTACAACATTGTAAAATGTTTTTGTGTAGCAGCTTATTCTTAAACTATCCTTAAGAATAACTAAGCTTAAGACTTTTGTAACTTTTTAATAGTGTGAGCAAAAAATTACTTTTGCAAGCAAAAAAATAGCCAAAAAAATAGCTAATAATTTTGGTATTATTCAATTTTTGCTTTGACTTATGTATGTTTTTTTTTAGCAAATAATTTTGGTATTATTAACTTTTTGCTTTGACTTATGTATATGTTTTTTCCAGCTCTTCGTAATTTTTTAATAGCTAGGGCAAAAAAATTACTTTTAAAAGCAAAAAATAGCAAATAATTAGCAAATTAATTCTACATACAATTTTTTGTGTTCTGATAATTTGGCTTAGATAGTATATAATTGCATATATTTATATATACAATTTTATTAATAGATTTTTATTAAGTATAGTTTAAATTACATTCTGCTAAATAAAAAATAATGTTTTGATAAGCAGCAGAATTTATTTTATCGATAACAATTAATCAAAAAATCTGCAGTTTAAAGAAATAATTCTAATTCCGTGATATCCCACATATGTGCACTTTTAGTTTCTACTCCACTTTTTGATCAGATAAATGTTTTTGTAAATAAAGTATTTTTGCAAGCAATGTTAAGTCTGAAATATGGACAATAATTTACTAAACAAATAAAGTACAAGATTATTTTTTACAAATGTAAAAACTATATAGAATCCGCACAAACAGGTATATCGTAAATAAAGTATTTTTTAAATAAAAATATCAGAAAGATTTTAAATTACATAAAATCGACAAAAATATAAATAAAAAATTTTCAGATTTTGCTTTAACAAAAACTAGACACGTATATATAAATAAATATTTCCATATTGGAGAATGAGAAAATATTTCGAGCAAATAAACTAAATCCTAAACTAAGGAAAATATAAGAATGAGAGAAAAATATAAGAAACAGCTAATATGATCTTTCCGAGAGAATTTTAAGCGAAAAATTAACAGAGTTTTAATTGAAGATTTCGCCATCTCTGCATTTAATGTTAAAATTTAGAAAAAAAGCGAAAAAGAATAGAAGAGAATTAAATTTTTGCAGAGGCAAAGTCGGTCATGAATTCACCAAAGAATTATACGTAGTTGAGAGAACGTATGCGACTTTCGACAGAATCTATTATGTCTGAATATTCTCCTCTTGCTTTGTGTGTGAGTGTTAATTTCCTGAGACACGCCTTTCAAGAAGTGTAATATCTTACGGTAGCTTAAAACGATTTCTCAATTGTATTTCTCACGAGTAGCGTATGCACTCTGCGATTACTCTGTTCAATCAAGAGACACGGTAGTGTCTCGCGCCAAGTAGGTACACGCGAAGCGAAACCGCACCGTGACTCTTTTACGTAAGAGTAACCGCGCGAAAAATGTGCGTTATTTGAAACATCTAGTTAAATACTTAGACATTTAATACAGCACTTTCCAAAATTTATTTTAAACGACCTATAACTAGGGTTGCCACCTAGACGATCGTTTTGACCCGGAGAAAAAAAAAGAAACAAGTTAAT